CTCTATAAAGTCAAGCTAATGCTGTTAACTTCATCTGAAGCCAATCCTAAAAGTATCTTTTTCTTCCCAATACAATAAATGTGTGCCCAAGACAGGCTTGCATACACAACTGTATGTTTGCATATGTCTAGGCACCCTGTTTCACAGCTACATTCCAAGGACAAAACAAGGACAAGACAAAAATCCAATTAATTTTAATTGAATAAATAACAACTGGATGAGATTGTCTATATAAGGACATCGTATTTCAATAAATCCCTTAAGTCAGACATGGATACACAACTGTGTTTGCCTATTTCTATAATTCTGAAGCTACATTCTAAAAATAAACAAGGACTAGGGAAAAAAATCAATTATTTTTAATTGAATAAATAACTAGTGAATAAAATTGTCAATAAAAAGCACTTCATTTTAATTCATTCAATAAATCCTCCCCAACTGTATTTAACAATTATTCAAACCATTATTTCTTAAATATATGCACATGCACTCACACACATTTATGAAGGATGAAGGGAAGGAAGATAAAGAAAGGTGAAGGAGCAAAATAGGCCACCATTGAAGTGACTGGAATAACTGAGCAGGGAAGGAAAGAAAGTGCCCAAGATTTTTTATAACAAATTCAACAATGCTGCTATGCTTAGCAGGCGCAGATGTGTATATGCATATTCTATAGTAAATTCAATGCTGCTTACTCCAGGTTAGAATGCATAGCCTTCTTTTACAATGGGTATTTATCTGTTTGTTTCAGCTTATTCTACATGATGGTAATAGAAATGTGGAAGAAATCTTTGAGGTAATAGAGATGTCATTCTCTCCCCTTCCCCTCCCAATATGTAGTTTAAAAAAAAAACCCACCTCAACAGCATAATGCATGGGTGTCAAACTTGCTGTGTCAGGTGATGTTTCAAGGCATTTTTCCAATTCGCAGATCTGGGATGGGCTTAGCCTGTGCGTGATACATCTGGCCAACAGACCGCCAGTTTGACACCCCTTAGAATAATGTGTGTTGGGTTGTGAGGCAAATAGAGGTAGTCCTCAACTACCTACATTCTAAAAAATAGTATGGCTAAAAAGCCAATGAAATTGTTCTCTGTATTGACAGAGGAATAGATGCCAGATCACATGAAGTGTTAGTACTGCTTTATAACACCTTGGTAAGACCACACTTGGAATGCCACATCCAATTTTGGTCACCACAGTATAAAAAAAAAAAGATGATGAGACTCAGGAAAGATGATTAGGGAGCTGAGGACTAAAACTTATGAAAAACAGTTGCAGGAATTGGATATGTCTAGTCTAGTGAAAAGAAGGACTAGGAATGACATGACAGCAGTGTTTGAGGAGCTGCAACAAAGAAAAGGGATTCAATCTATTTTTGAAGCACCAGAAGGCAAAACAAGAAGCAGTGGATGGAAATTAATCAAGGAGAGAAGCAATCTAGAACTAAGGAAATTTCCTTGCAGTGACAATAAACCATGGAACGGCTTGCCATCACCAGGAGACTATTAAAAAGAGACTGGACTGTCATTTGTTTGGAATGGTGAAAGAAGTTGGATTAGAAGACCTCCAAAGTCCCTTCCAACTCTGTTTTTCTAGTATTCTGACTTACAATCATTTGTTATAGTGACCATTTTAACTTACAATGGCACTGAAAAATGACTCATAAATGTTTTTCACACTTATAAACATCAAAGCATCCTCATGGTCACATGATCAAAATTTGGGTGCCTGGCAATTGGCATGTATTTATGGCAAGTGCAATGTCCTGGGCCCATGTGATCATCATTTGTAACCCTCCAACCGGCTTCTGAAAGCAAAGTCAATGGAGGAAGCCAGAATCACTTAATGACTGTATGATTCATTTAAAAACTGCAGCAATTCGCTCAACAACTGTGGCAAAATTGGTCATAAAATGGGGCAAAACTCCCTTGCCTTGCTTAGCAACAAAAATTTTGGACTAGCTGTAAAAACCTTGGTGCATTTACTTTATATGTAACATTAGTTTCGAAAGTACTTTTTATAATCTACTCATTATGCAATCCTGCAAACACAATCAGGGAAAAGCAGAGGTGAGAGCATGATAGTTAGCCTGTTTATTGTTCTATTTAATCAAAGTGAATGCAAAGCCATGGTTTAGCAGTACGTATATAAGCTTGAATGAATTTAATCAAAGCAATGAGATTGGGTACTCTTTTTCCTCTCCTTCAGCAGCCTTTAGTTTTCTTTCTTACGAATGTTAGCATGTCATTTAAAAAAAAAAAATCAAAGAGTGGGATTTGAAGTAAATGATTTGAAGTTCCCTTCTTTAGAATCAGTGGTTTGAAGCAATGCTGTGTTCTGATCTAACAAAGCCAGTTTTCATGAAAAATTAAACTAAACTTTAAAGGAAAAGTATCTCCTGTGGAGCCAAGGGCATCATAGTATTGGTCTCTTTTCCTTATTGTAAGCAAAGGCTTATGCAGAGAGATATGAAGCAGGATAGTGCTTTGAACTGAAAGGTTTTTTTCTAGATATGGATTAAGGCATCTACAATTGGCATTTTGCAAAATTCTCCTACAAATATGGACTTTGTTTGAGCTCTGAACTTGTCTAATCTATGAAGGCTTTTAGATAGATCTGTTGGCTGACGGCTTTTAACTCACTTTTTTAATTAAAATGTACATATAGTTGTTCAAGCATACACTTTTTGTGTATTTGTAAAAGTTAAACTACTTTGCTATTAAAATTAACAACAAACACACTATATTTATTATATTGGCTTGAACATGCTTGCACATACTCATGCAAAAATTCCTTTAATAAAACAAAATTAGGTAAGTCCTCTGAATAATAACAGCAGCAATAACAGCTTCAATGTCAACAATAATCAATTAAAAACACACAAAATACCAGAATGTTAGGGACAGCCAATAGTTACACATATTTTCATAATAAAAATGCACAGAAACAACAGCCAAATAAAGTAAACACACAATCCCATAATCTTTAAAATAACAAAGCCAATTAGTCAAGCCCTATATCCTGGAAAAATAACTAAACAATAATTGAAATGAATATAAGTCCTTCAACAAGCCAATTTGAAAGCTTATTAGCTGTCTAGATAAAGATCAGATTTTGCAATATTGTCCAGCTGTAGTCAACTTCTTCCATTATATCCCTTACTGGAAAAAAACATGTTTTCAAAATCTTTTGAAAAATATTAAAATTAGTTGTTTTTTTTCAGGTAGTCCAGAGACTAGATGCTTGAATACCTTTGATTGTGAAAAAGGGAGACCAAAGCACTTCCCCAAACCCCTGCAATACTACACAGAGAAGGATAGCAAACAGTGCTAAAAATCCAAAACAACTTTTGAAGGAACTTGTGGCAGATGGGCATAGGAAAATCAGAGAGCAGTATGAACAGACAACACACACACACACACAAAAAAAAAAAACCCAATACCTGAACTGACTCAGAAGGGGGGAAACAAAAGGTTCCACAAATAAACTGTTATAACAGTAAAGATCTGACATAAGTCAACTTTCCTGCCTCTGTGTTCAAGATGTGATGACCTGGGGTGTGGCACAAAGGCAACACAGTCAAATAAGTAAGAAGTGTTCCTTTAGTACCTCCAATTTTGCCCCCAATGTCCAGGTTACCTTTGGCTGGAGAAAAAACTCTCCCAAGAACAGTCTTTAAATGAAGGAAATTCAGTCCAAAAACAAAGTACATACAAACTATAAATAAAAATCCACACAAACCACGCTGCAGTAATTAACCTGACAGGGCAGGAGAAGGAATTGCAGGCTTGAAAGACCAGCAGAACACACACAGTTGGGAAGACGCCAGGAACCCAGATAAGCCTCGACGATACCAGATAATTCACAATTTGTTCCCAAAAAGTTGCTGTGTGCAGCTTCCCTTTTTAAACACTGTGTTCTCAGCTGCAGCTAATAAAGGGAATCAGGGCCCTTTCCTCCCCCATAAGCCATGCAACTCACATTGCTTCCTTCTCTGTTTCTCCCTGCGTGCCCTACGATGAAGAGGGGGTGAGCTTGGGTCTTCCTCCGAATTCCCCTTCCCGTGCTCTACCTCTCCCCTGCTCTTCCCAGCCAGCCTTTACCCTTTCCCAGTTTCTTCCACAGCCAACAGAGCCATACTCCCGCTCCCTGTCAGCTGCTCGGCCTCCCCCTCTGAATCAGATTCTGACAGGGGCATGACACAACGAATGGAGGAGCTGATAAGATATTCATGACAAAGGACCAAGCTATTTGAGGGACTGCTTCTTGCTGATTACATCTACCTGGCCTATCACATCTGGCAGAATATGTACATGTTGCAGGTCCAGTTTACTAAAGAGTAAATTGACTTTGCTTGTGAGAAGTTCACCAAAGGTGATCATATGACCTTGGGACACTGCAATCATCATCAATACGATCCAATTATCAAGCATCTGAATGTAAATCATGTGACCATAGGGATGCTGCAATGGTCATAAGTGTGAAACAATTATCATAAGTCATTTTTTTCAGTGCCATTGTAACTTTAAACCAAGGGTCTTCAAACTTGGCAAGTTTAAGACTTGCGGACTTCAACTCCCAGAATTCCTGAGGTAACATGACCGGAGGAGGAATTCTGGGAGTTGAAGTCTTCAAGTCTTAAAGTTGTTAAGTTTGAAGACCCCTGCTTTAAATGGTCACTGAATGAACTCTTGTAAGTCAAGGACTATCTGTATTTTGGTCATTATTCCATATGCAAAAATAGTGCATTGTAATGTATATTATGTGAGATATAGTAGCAAGAACAACCAATGTTCTGGTCTCCTTAATATTTTACTTTATCAACAATCTGCTAATTAAGTTTTGCCTGCAATATTATAGCCCTCTCTACCTGCACATAATGAAATGTGAAATTGAATTACAAATGACTCCTTGTAGAATAAAAATATGGTAGGAGATCATATATTATGCATAACAATTCCTCAGGCATTTTGAGAGAAAAATTAAAAGAAGATTACCATCCATGTTGCTGATATGGATCATCCAGGAGCACCCGAACTATATATAACATGCAGCTTAAAAGTTTGAGTGAAAAATTGAATAAGCGGATTCTCAGGCCTGTTGGGAAAAAAAGAAAAGTGAATCAAACTAAATTAAGAAAAGAATACTTGCAAGTTACTAAACTGACTGAAAAGTAATATCCTCAGGCCTGTCAAAAATTGTTTAAAGTCTTTAGAGTGTTAAAATATTAATAAATGTATTGATTTCAACTTTTCGAAAACCATCTCCCCCTTATCTTTGGACTATCTTCCTTCAGATGGGGAAAAAAGAAAGAGAAAACAAATTAAAGCATTAATAGACATCCAACTCTACTCTTTTTCTTATTCATGCAGACTCAACTTACCCATTTGAAAAAAAACCAAAAAAACAGGAGCAGGTGTCAGGAACAAGCAACCACCACTATCTGTGAATATCTTAAGTCAGCAATGTTATTGACTTCCACTTATATTACAAGAGTTTCTGCAGACTGCCTGCTGTCCATGGGAACAACTAGGTAAGGTTTAATGGATCTTGAAAAAGGTTGATGCTTATGCCTCTTGATGCTATACAAGAACTCAAAGTTAATCTTCCCTTTGGCTGGCAGTTTCCCAACATCAGAATGGAATGGGACAAGTTGCCACAGCCAACTTGCCACGGCCAACTCACTGCTGCCAATTTGCCCTGGCCAACCTACTGTAGCCAGCTTGCCACACCTTACTTGCCATGGGATAATTCAACAATTTTATTTAATTATTTAAAATAATTTTGAAAATATTTTCATTTTTGTCCTTCATACTTCATTTTCTCCCTCCTTTTTGCATCCTTTCTTTAACAATTCTATTTCACCATTCTTCAATATATAACTTTTGTATCACGGCAAGTTGTCACACAGTGAGTTGGCCGTTGCGAATCGTCCTGTAGTGAGTTGTCCTAGACCCATATCAGGGGGATCCACAGTGATGGCTAAGCGTTTCAAAATGGTAGGTATAAACTAGGTAATCAAAGCCACATCCCTTTTCAATGTACATTACAGGCACTGTATGCATATAAAAAGGAGTGAGGGTTCAAACATCTGGTTGCATCTATCACTTTGACCTGCCGCTTCAGACACTCTCGGCTTTCTCCTAGGATGAAGTCATGGAAATGAAAGTACCCACACAAACCTCAAGCTAATATGTCTTATCTTCCATCACTAGGCCAAAGAACAACAACTTGCCTATGGGGAAGAACCCGGAAAATGTAATTGATCATTGTTACCTTTCTTATCTTGCACAATTTATTACTTATGGAGTACTGTGGAAACAATGTAAGTTATTTAAAGCATACTACTGTGGACTAACAATTCATAATCTATGCAATGCAAAAAAAAAAAAAAGTCAAGGATACAGGTTAACTAGCAATCTTATGGAACAATGTAAACATTTCTGTGGCACGACAAGCTAGATACAATTCAGCTTCAAATATGCATTTGAAGTGAGCAGATCACAGTATCTAAATAGCTAATACTGTTATTATAAATGCATAATATTTTATATGCTAAAATATATTATCAAAAATGACTAAAACATTCATATATATGTATATGTGAAGCAGGACTGTCAAACTTGCATGGGCCGGATGCATCATGCACTGATCACACCCATGCCCGGTTTAGGGGGGGAAGTCGCAATACATAATATGATGCCACCGTGACAATATGGGTTTGACACTCCTGATGTAGAGAAATGCAAATTAAAGTATGTTCTTCTTTTTGGCAAACTAATGAGAAGACCAGCTGAAATGAATTTAAATATGCAATTAATGCAATCAATCATTAATGTTCCTCTCCATGCCTAATCAAGGTAATATTCAACTTAAAATAGGTACAGGTGGCTCTCTTTTGTTATCTATTATCAAAAAGGTGCTTTAGCTTATAAGCTACATAGATTGAAAAGAAGCCAGAGATCATCATCAAAGCAAACCAAATACCAGTATTTGTAGCAGCAAGAAACTCCACCTGAGACAAGCAAAAGTCCCATTGGTATATATTGGATCTGCCTTTAACTGGCCATTGCAACTAACAAGGGTGAGAAATTATCTGATCTATTATTCATCATTTTTTATTATCTTTGCATTATTCAGTGATTGCTTCCTACTCTGTCAGAGTACCATCTGGCAGTGGCAAATGATGAAAGCTAATGGCACTGGAAGCTTTAATAACATGTGCAATGAACAATTATATAGTGTTTTCAACGTATTTTGGAATCAGTTTTAATACCTTCATTGTACTGAGGCTGCCTCTATCATAACCATAAATTCCAGTTAAAAATAGATTTGAAAATCACCAATACTCTTCACTTTAGTTAAAATGATAGACATCTTAAAATTTGTAAATTAAATGTTCTGTGATAGCTGATACAACTGATACCTTCCAATAGGAGTGAAAATCCTTCCTATTGTAACCCTAACCTTAATCCTAATTATCCACCATTTTATGTGTGCTTTGACTGGGAAACCAAGTGAATCCTCTAACTCCATGTGTTCCATTATTCATTTATCCTTGTAATCAACCCTATGAAATTGATTATGTTGGGAAGTAACTTCTAAAGAATCACCCAATGAGCTTCATGACTGTGAAAATCCTGCCTAATTTTTATAGGTAGACTTCATGTGAACCTGCACATTGCTGCTGAAGAAACTGAAAAGACTCAAAGATGAATGAAGGGGTCATTAGATTTGACAGACTCAAAGACGAATGAAGGGGTTACTTCAATCTAATGAAGCTATACTAAAATATATATTTCAGACCTTTGGAGGCCAATATAGTAAATAATTTAAGTAAATACCACCTCTTTTTATTCTTGTTTACCATAATCCAAGAGTCAAATAATGTTCCACACAACTTCCTTTTTTCATTTCATTTTATACATATACTAGAGAAGGGGTATCTTTTATATAGATATTGTAAAATATCTCTATAAAAAACTCTAATATTACTCATCAAACATGCAAACATATACCCTCTCTTCTTCTGGGATGGTTTACAACCTATAAATTTTTGTATCACATGCTACATTATGACCATCTTAAGCAGAACATGTCATTCAGGATTTTGTTCCAGAAGCATATCTGAAATGAATGTTAGTCTATAATGCATATGGAACCCACTAAGTTTTTAAGTGGTAAATAGATTGTGTCAATGGTTACCATGTGTTAAGTTTTGCATCTCTCTGCTCATGTATAGTACAGAAACCTGCATCTCTGTTAAATATAAATTTCACTTTCATTTTTGCTTCCTAACTTAGAGACCATAAAACTATCCCTTTATTTTACTTCTACTCTTTCCTCTGTCTTCCTAAGATCAGGAAAGCTTTTCTTTGTCAAATTAATATTACAAAATAACAACAGTCATTCTGAATGGTAGCTTACTGAGAATTACACTGCTCAAAAAAATAAAGCGAACACAAAAATAAGACATCCTAGATCTGAATAAATGAAATATTCTTATTAAATACTTTGTTCATTACATAGTTGAATGTGCTGACAACAAAATCACACAAAAATTATCAATGGAAATCAAATTTAGCAACTCATGGAGGCCTGGATTTGGAGTTACACTCAAAATTAAAGTGGAAAAGAACACTACAGGCTGATCCAACTTTGATGTAATGTCCTTAAAACAAGTCAAATTGAGGCTCAGTAGTGTGTGTGGCCTCCACGTGCCTGTATGACCTCCCTACAATGCCTGGGCATGCTCCTGATGAGATGGTCTCCTGAGGGCTGTCCTCCCACACCTGGACTAAAGCATCCCCCAAATCCTGGACAGTTTGTGGTGCAACATGGCATTGGTGGATGGAGCGAGACATGATGTCCCAGATGTGCTCAATTGGATTCAGGTCTGGGGAACGGGCGGGTCAGTCCATAGCATCAATGCCTTCATCTTGCAGGAACTGCTGACACACTCCAGCCACATGCATTGTCGTGCATTAGGAGGAACCCAGGGACAACCGCACCAGGATATGGTCTCACAAAGGGTCTAAGGATCTCATCTCAGTACCTAATGGCAGTCAGGCTACCTCTGGCAAGCACATGGAGGGCTGCGCAGCCCCCTAAAGAAATGCCACCCCACACCATTACTGACCCACTGCCAAACCGGTCATGCTGGAGGGTGTTGCAGGCAGCAGAACGTTCTCCACGGCATCTCCAGACCCTGTCACGTCTGTCACATGTGCTCACTGTGAACCTGCTTTCATCTGTGAAGAGCACAGGGTGCCAGTGGCGTATTTGCCAATCTTGATGTTCTCTGGAAAATGCCAAACGTCCTGCATGGTGTTGAGCTGTAAGCACAACCCCACCTGTGGACGTTGGGCCCTCATACCACCCTCATGGAATCTGTTTCTGACCGTTTGTGCAGCCACATGCACATTTGTGGCCAGCTGGAGGTCATTTTGCAGGGCTCTGGAAGTGCTCCTGTCCCTCCTTGTACAAAGGTGGAGGTAGCAGTCCTGATGCTGGGTTGTTGCCCTCCTACAGCCTCCTCCACATCTCCTGATGTACTGGCCTGTCTCCTGGTAGCACCTCCATGCTCTGGACACTATGCTGACAGACACAGCAAACCTTCTTGCCACAGCTTGCATTGATGTGCCATCCTGGATGAGTTGCACTACCTGAGCCACTTGTGTGGGTTGTAGACTCCGTCTCATGCTACCACTAGAGTGAAAGCACCGCCAGCATTCAAAAGTGACCAAACCATCAGCCAGAAAGCATAGGAACTGAGAAGTGGTCTGTGGTCACCACCTGCAGAACTACTCCTTTATTGGGGATGTCTTGCTAACTGCCTCTGCTTTCCACCTGTTGTCTATTCCATTTGCACAACAGCATGTGAAATTGATTGTCAATCAGTGTTGCTACCTAAGCGGACAGTTTGATTTCACAGAAGTGTGATTGACTTGGAATTACATTGTGTTGTTTAAGTGTTCCCTTTATTTTTTTGAGCAGTGAAGATAACACTGAGAACTATGTGGGATTCTCCTTATTACAACATTTAGCATAGCATTCAAAAAGTAATATTTTCACAAGCCTCTCAAAAGTTTGTAAAT